TTTAATAACTGTTTAAAGGAAAGAAAAAAACCTGCAGGTCAGAAAAAAACAAAATTTCAACTGAATCAGAGTAAACAAATGCGAGGAAAAAACTAATTAGCATTTCTAAATGATTCTTTAATTTTTCCAATGAAATACTTCAAAGAGAAATGATACATGTGAGAGTTAAAACAACGTTGGTAAATGTTTAATGACTAATTATGTTGAATACTAAATGCACTCTTAACAGTCTTTGTTGAAGTCAATAGTGTACATGGAATTGAAGCTTGAATCCCAAGACTAAACAGCAGTGGAAACCTGCCAACACCTAACATGTACTAGTGCTGACGGAGGAAACAGCAAACAAAACATGTATGAAAACCTGCCAGAAATGGAGCCCCAAAATACCATCTGGTGCGAAATCATACGATTTTCTCACTTCGAAAAAAAAATCCCATGTGTTTGTTAGAACAAAGACATGGAAATAACCCTGAAGCCATGTATATATTCTGTGCACCGCATGTTAAAGTCATAAGGATCTACAAATCCCTGACAGCTTAGCCAAGAAAGCAATAAAAACTTCATTATGGTTAGTAGTATTATCAAGTCTGAAGGGTGCAGTAATGAAGGCCAGACTCTGGTTCATGTATAGTGCAATGTTTGCTTGCAAAGCTCTCACTGGTAGTTAATTTACAGCATTGTACTATCCATAAACCAGAAGGCTGTTGACCTCAGAAAACACTGTTTAACTCATATTCTTTAATGGTTAGAGTTTTTACATTCCTTTAGACAAGGGTGTGAGTTTGGCTTCAGAGGTTTGTGGACACACTGAAATAAAACAATAGCACCACAAACTTTAATGGATAAAGCTAATCACAAATTACCCTAAAACTGGTTATTGTGTTTTCCATAAAACTAGAAATGTTATGTAAACTTATGTAGTGTAACTCTACTTAAAATAAATTTTAGTTTAATTTACAGATACCTGATAGACCATTGTTGTATTTAATTTTTTTTATACAAAGAGAGCTGTGATTTACTCTTTACTCTTTGACTGATATGCATTAAATTAAAACACAGATTAAATGTTTCTTTAACCTGAATATCCTAGTTCTTAGAACATTTTTCAGCCCTGAGTGGTATCTACAAGTAGTAATTTCAGGCTGCATAACGTCCCAACAACCACCAGAAATAAGGTAAGGCCATTGCTCGTTAAGGTTATTGCTTTGAGCACACAGTGACATGAGTTATAAAAGTGAGAGGGACAAAAATGGGAAACAGTTTTTTGGAAAGTGACGGGAACAATGAAACTTACACCTATGCCTTGAGTTTATTCAGTGGACGTCTTCCTGTGGCATGCTAAACAACAATTTACCCTGGACTGCAGATCTGCAGAAACATAGGGTCTTTTTAATCAAGTCTACAACATAATTCCTTGTTCTTTGTCTTTCCTCTGGCTCCTCTCGACAAGCCGGGGGAGAGGGGGTTACTGGAGGCTTAGCCGGGATATGATGTCCCTGCCTTGGATCATCTCTGAGCATCTGACGAGCTGGAGCATTATCGCCACAGACTCCCTTTTTATTCCTTCAGAGCTGGGGATTCTGGGTAAACTCTACCCTCTGCCCAAAAGAAATACAACCACTGACAAAGAACTTGTGGAGTACTATTTTTTTCTGTGATGCTTTAAACATCTACTGTAAGTCTTGAAGACAATATTTAGCTGAATTCATTATAAAATCACATACTACTGTGTTGAGATTATGACATCTGAATGTCTAAAACTGGATCACTGTGAAAGATGGTCACACATATCTGCCAACTTTTTGTTGGTACAAGAGGTCAACTAAAAGCTTTTTGTTTAAGTGCAAATATTGGTAACACTTTATTTTAGGGGTCCCATATTTTTCAGATAATTTCCTGTAAACTTTCCTCATAATTTCCCAAAAAAAATTAGCTGGTTTTTAGTTGCAAATTACTGGGATATTCCCAAGAAAGGCCAATGCAATTTGGTTCTAATTATAAGGGAAATGAAGTGTTATTAAGTACCTGCTTGTTATATTCAAATTCTTTTTTTATAAAAAAAAAAGAGAGGAAATTCTGTAGTCTGTAAATGAAGAAATTTTCATAAATTCACATCAGTATCCATCAGTAATGTCCTGGTAATTAACAGCTAAATGCCTAATTTAAGACAATTTCTAGGAAATTATGAGGAAAGGTTCCTGGAAATTAGCTGGAAAACACAAGACCCATAAAATATAAAAATAAAAGTGTTACCAAAATATTCAATAAAAACACATGGAGATAAACAAGGCCTAAAGACTGTCCAACACATTAAAGAAATGTTCTTATGACTTATCTCTCCTAAGAGGTCTACACACACACACACACACACACACACACACACACACACACACCACACACACACACACAACCGAGAGATACAAGAGACACACACACACACACACACGCACACCGTGCATATTTTAAGACACTCTTAAGGCTTGACAATATCACCTCTTGTGAAACTTTCTAACCATGACACAGCAAAGAAGACAAACAACTCTTGGATTCTGTGCTTTAACGTGACATCTGCTCCCCCACTGTACAAAACCATTGTTAGGCCTTGAACTGGCACTTCAGGACACAAGGCTACAATAGAAAAAAATCTCCGAAGTTAATTTCTGCATCAATTATGAACCACCAAACGGGGGGAGAGCAGGTTGAAAATGTTCAGTGTGTTCATCTTTGATGCTACAGAGGGAAAATCGCATGCCCATGTGGATGTGCTGCATATAATGGATTAGTGAATGGCAGCAACTTAAAAGCTTAATGTTTTCATTCAGTAAGTTCATCCTAGTCATAAGTACCAATCAAACCTACCAATACTAGACAACCACTACGTCTACAATGTACTGGTTGTTTATTTGTTGATTATTTGTTCATTTTATTGAATTCCCATCAGCTTTTGCTATGGCAGCTAATCTTCCCAGGGTCCACACATTAAAATGTCCAAATAAAAGACTAAAACCAAGGTTCAAACTAAAACCAATAAACAAATAATATCAATTAATGGTCCATTACCGCATAACAAAACATAATGGCAACAAATTTTCTACACAATAACAGATGAATGGCAATTAATATTTAAAACAATATAACCAGATTTAAATACACAACTATCCCTTAAATGTCATGAAAATGACAACAACCTAAGATAAGGAGGCCGCTTACTACCTGGTTATTCAAAGTTTACACTTTCAATCTATAACCAGTTTCAATTATAATTAGTTGAAAAATGTATAATGATGTTTCTTGGGGTTTTTTTTCGTAATAAGCTCTTTGATCTATATTTGACAATGAATGCTTCTCACAATTTACTGACTGGACTTGTAATGTTAGGATCATATATAGTAGCAGTCCAATTGCCTCTGATTACAACAGAAAATCGCAGCTGGTGGTGGCAGCGGCCGCGCCAATTCACACTCTGGTTGTAATGGATCTGTAAGAAATCGTGCTGTACACTTCCTTATTGGCGAGAGGAAAATGCTATACTGTGCCGTTATGCTGATTAAGGTAGCGCAAAGCAATCTACCACAAGCCAGCTTAGCATTGCCCCTGTGACAGGGTATTTAGAAGAGTAGTGAACTGCAAGAAAGCTCAATTACATCCTCCCAGCATGTACTGCATAAATCACGGTAAATCCTCTTTCAAGCCTGTCTTTCGGAAATTACTGGAATGTTACAGCAGAAAACACGGAGACGGCTGCATCAGTGTTACTCCAAGGAGAAGAGCTTAGGGAAAAATGCAGAGTAATGCAGAGCTCTGCAAAAGCAACTTCCTGTTTGACTGGGCCACACCCAGACAGAGTCAGAAAGCTGAAATTACGTTGTATCTATGCAGCATGATCACTGACATACTGCCGAAACTAAAACTGAGACAGAAAAAAGCAGGTTTGAAGTAGAAATTTCAAAACATGAGGAAGCAATTTAAAAAATGCAAAGGAGAAGTGTGCTGTCACAGTAAACAGAGATTTTTTAAAACCCCATAGGGCCTCACAAACATGACTACAGACAGTGCTGTTTATGTGACTCTTGACCCATATTTTTAATGAATAAATACATAATGCACAGATAAACTACTGGAAAGCCAATTGTGTGATCAAATAAATGAATCATATCTGAAAGCTGCCACATTACAATATTGGAGCTTTTGATGCAGTCTCACATTGAGTTTCAAACTTGTTATGTGAATATTGCCACTCCATATTTTTATGACTACATGAATTGCAGAACGATCATGACAAAAGGGCCAAAATTGCCATATCTCTAAAGCAGCTATTGATAAACCGATCTATTCTTTAAGGATAGTTTTTGTATTGAAATGTCACATTCTGGCATATCCAAATGTCAACTCCCAAGGTTGCCTCGCCATCTGTGTAGCCTTAGTGGTGCTTTTGAAATAATAGCTTTTTTTTTTTTTTTTTTTTAATGGTTAATATTGAAATGAAATTTTGGAACAGAGCTAAATCAAAGTCTAAAATAGTGCGCACAGAAGATGGCAAAAGGTTGCTCTGCTATAAACAGCACAAATGAACTGCCTTTCATTTACTTCATATGTCTTTGAGAAAAATAGTTATTGATGTTTTTTGGCCTCGCAAAGACGAAATGTGACTGGCATTTGTAGGGGAGATGCAAAGGGCATTATAATATGATGGATGGGCCGGTTGAGATATAGCTGCAGATGCTGATAAGATAGCAGAAAGCAGAGTCTCTGCATTTTCTCAGATCAAACATGTGACTGGAAAGGGCTGTGACAGGTGTCTCTGACAGCCGCACGCTGCTTGTCCGTAGTGTCACCTATCAGCAGCACTATCTGATTAAAACTGGCCATCCACGGACTCTCTTAGCCTTAGGTACAAGATCTTTCTCTCCTCGATCGCTTGATCATACATGCATGCAAGCTCACACACACACCACACATATATGATTGCTGAGAGGGACAGTAGTGGGGGCATACAGTACCTTGCGTGTTGACTGGGTTGGTGGTGGGTGTGGGGATAGTAGTGGGAGCATCTAGATGAAAAGAGTAAAAAAAATAAAGAACATGTATAAGAAATAAAGGAAGACAAGAGTAAAGAAAGAGACAAAAGTCATTGAAGATGAGAAGCTGCACTATAAAAATCATAACATGCACATGTTTTAGCTGCTGTGGTGAATAAATTTTTAGGAGACTCCATGCTAGCAGCTCCGTGAGGCTGTACTTAAAGGATAGGTTCACATGTTTTCAAGTCTATCTTACAATAATAGTCATGTGTCCATATGAACATTGAATCAGGTTTTGCTCACTGTGATCATTCCTCCAGAGATCCCTTCTTAAATCAATTTCAGTGTGAGTGATGGGTGGATACAATCCAAAGTCCTTTTCTGTGCAAAAATATATTCAGAGCTTTATTTGAAGTTAACATGAGGCTTAAGCAGCCTGAGTTAGTCAGACAGAGTGAGCATCTCCCAAAGTTACTATTATTTTTTAGAATGAAATATTTTTGTGTTAATATCGCTTCACCGCAGCTCAGCACAGAAACGCTGCTCAGGAAGCTAAAGGAGGGAATTTGATACTAAAAACACTGACTTTGAAAGATATGCAGAGTTAGTTTGATTAACTCTGACTACTTAACATAAACTTTATGATAAAACATGTTAAGAAGGGATCTCTTTAGGGCCTTTATAAACAGGAAGAATGGCTACAGCAAAACAAAATCTGGTTTATCGTACATATGGGCACCTGAATATGGTTTTAAGACAAACTTGAAAAAACTCTAAAACCTATTTCCTTTAAGCAGCAACAATGCTTTGAGCTAAAAGCTAACATCAGCATGCTAACATGCTCACAATGACAATATGCTGATGTTTAGCATGTTTAGATGTTAGCATGCTAACATTTGCTGATTTGCACTGACAACAACATACAGCTGAAGCTTACGAGAATCTTAGTTTTTCCATGTATTTGGGCATAAACCAAAGTATTGTACAAAATAAAAACTTGACCCAAAGGTGGCGCTGGATGAGAACATTAATGGATCGTCAAAACAATTAAAATTCATTACATTCATTCAGGGATTCATGAATGTCCAAAGCAAATTTTATGGCAATCCTTCAACTTCAACTTCACAGTGGTGGCACTCCAGGAAAAGTCAGGGAATTATCAGGACATTGAATCATTTTGGAACCATGAATATCTGTACTGATTTTTGTGTCAATCTATCAAGTAGCTGTTGAGATATTTCAGTCTAGATCAAAGTGGTGGGCTAATGTGAAAATGCTGACCTTCTGCTAGTCATTAGGATTCATCCTCTGGTGACCATGAATTTGTGTACCAAATTTTATGGCAATGCATCCAGTAGTTGTTGACACATTTCACTAAAAACAAAAACTTAACCTCATAGCAGTGCTACAGGAAAAGTCAGGGGATCAACAAAGTCATTAGGATTAATTGCCCTGGGGAATTTTATGGCAACCCATCCAGTAGTTGTTGAGATATTTCAGTCAACACAAAAGTGGTGGACTGACCTGCAGGCCAGCATTACTATTCACACTGCCAGCATTTCTAAACATATCAAGAAAAACACACTAATATTTGCACAAGGGTTGTATCATATTTCATTATGGCAAGAGTCTGAATTTCTTTTTTGATAAATTTTCTAATTAACTATGAATAATAATGTCTGGCAATCATGGAAAGGTATTGCTATTTTCCACAGTCTCTCTCAATAATTAATGTCAAACTACAAATTAAACCACTCTGGTGGTCTCCCGCTGCAGCGCAGCAGAGCCCCGAGCAGCATCCTCCGCCCCACAATGTACTGATTAGGCCTGTCACTAACCCCCAAACAAAATAATCAGAAAGACAAAATGGAGGGCAATTCAGGTATGTGATGGTGCTAAGGAGGGCTTAAAGCTTCCTCATCAGGGGAATATATGCCTGGCTCTGGTGCAGGGGAGAGATAGCACGACCCCTTGCTGTGGGAGAGTCACAGCAGGGGAAATTGGCTGGCTGTCTCTGTGCCTTTACTGTCTGCACTCCATCAAAAGACAGCAGTGGGGGACCACACACTCCCAAACTAATGATAAAACATCAAGGACAGCATAATGTTGCCGCCGGGGATGGAGTGTATGGTGGAGGTGGTGTTGATGGTGGTAGGGGGGTATCAGGGTATCAGGAAGAGATTCTCCTCTGACAGTATTTGAAGAGGGGGGTGGGCTAGATTTCTTTCCCTGTGACCGAAGGCAGTCTGATAGCTGAAATGTCAGTGTCTGGAAGAGGGAAATTGGCCATTCAGGGAAGAGGGTCTTCACAAAGGCCGGGATAGGATGTGGCACATATAATATCCAGCCGAACAAGAATTCTCCATGGGCAATTTCCAGGCTGGATGACTCTGGGCTCAGCATTATGAGGGCTGAAATATGAGTGTATTTTGGAGAGGCCATATTTTCAGGGAGTATTTGTATCAGTGAGGAATTTGATATGAGAAAATTTAACCATAAAGTGAAACAATGTAGGAGAAATTGTTTATCTATGCCTGCTTAAATCTGCCTGCCAACACGACAGCAGGGAAGATATTTTGCTTTTCTTTTGTCTATTTGTTTCTCTTACTTAAAAGTTCCCTTTACGTCAACTTTTATAAAAGTATTCTTCAAAAACAGAGGGAAATGTCTGTAAAAGAGGTTATTACAATTAATCTAATGAATTCTTATTGAGAAAAATGAATCTACAAGCTCAAGTGTTGAAAGACATTCCTCATTATGTGTTTGATTCAGAGGGATAGCCTGTCATAAGAAGAGGGAGAACCGTGAGTCCTGTCCATTCACATTATGTCAAACCCCTGATAAACCCCAAATTTCCACTGGCTTGTGATTCTTTGACTTCTGGTCCATGGAAGATTTATAGGTCAAAAAGTCAACTGTGGCTAAACCGTGGTGGTAAAAAGCAGTATTGTTCTCCTGCCAACAGGCAGTATGTGTGAGTTATAGCACCAGGTCACCTTTGAGAGAAAGGCCTCTGTCTGGCCAGCTCTCTCCCACACTACACACTGACCAGGGGGCACAATTCACAGCCTGCTGCAGACACACCCTTGTGGACAACAGCATGACAAGCCTCTTTCTCAGCCTTTCGACCAGCCACATACAATACCTGCACCACAATGGGACTTGATTTGATGTGGATTTACATCGGCCTCACACCTGTCTGGGCTGTCGCACAGTGAAAGGTCATTAGTCTTTTTGAAATAGGAAGAGCCCGAAGGACTAGCACTGGCAGAGGGTGGCAGCAGGATGGAAGAGCGCTGATGGACGATTCAGCTGAGCACTATCAATAATACTCACAAGCAAAAAAACAACTCATTAAAATAAAGCTATTTGTTGCATGCTACTGGTTAAACAAAAGGCATTTTTGACAGGTGTGTGATGGCTTCAACAGGACCAAGAGTCCATAAATTAAAAACACAAAACGGTAAAAATGCCAGATAAGAGAAGAAACTGGTCATTTTGTAGACAAATGTGAGACTGATGTTGGTAGCCGTGATAAGAGAAGTGCGATAGTTGAGGTTTTGCATTGCCACTGAAAAACAACACAAAAACAGCACAAGGTTATCATGCTAAGACCAATCTATGTGGCAGAAACACACACTAATTAAGCCACTGTAGCAAGCATGATTAGTCTGGGACAACAAACCCTCATATGGACCACAACATGATTTTGTCTGGCATTAAATCCTCCAGAAAAGAGGTGTGGGAGTCGCAGACATAATTATACGCTGTTATGAGCACCTTTTGCCAATCTCCTGTGTCTCATTATAGCGAGCTGAAGTCATAGAGCTTCCAACGCTCGTACACCAGAGGAACAGTGTTTAATGGAAACTGGTAAAATATGTGGATAGGAAGATACTAATTGAAGAAGTCATGGCAAAAGGCACAAACACTGATAACAAAGCTATTGTAGCTTTTATTCTGGACCAGAGAACATTTGCTTCCCATTGCTCTTCATTCATTCATGCAAGTGTTACAGATGCAGCACGAAGCAAATGACACATGAATTTAACAGCAGTCGACACTCATCATTCATGAGTTCTTAAATGCCCGCAGGCAATTCAGGGAAAACTCCTGAACTATTAGAATATTATATTATTACTTTAAAGATGTGTGTTTGAGACAACTTGTTCATTACCAAAAAAAAAATACATACAATCTGAGAGGATTTACTCAAGGAGAGAGTACGGTAAATCTTAGTTTCAGAGGAATCTTTGCACAACAATTAGGATTTTAGTCATGAAAGCTTGAATAAGTCTGCCTTGAGTGAGCTATTTGCCGGCATATGCTGTCCTTTTGTTTGGGAGTGATCATTTTGGGCCCATTGGGAACAAGCAGATGTCATCATCTGCCTGGCAGAGCACGATGATGAATAACCATGGGGCGGCAGAGTTATGAGAGTCACAGGAAACCTATGTCACAGTTACAAAGTCACACATGACAGCTGGTGAAATACACACATTATTTCTCTGAACATCAACTAACCTACAGAACTGCTGAACTTCAGACATATACTATGATGATGTGACTTGAGTTATTTTCTCAAGCAACTGAAGATATTTCAACAATGAAAAACTGGAGTACCAGTGCTTCCCTGAATGCTTTGTACCTGAGAGATTTGGATTAGTGAGGTCCTGCTGTGTTTGAAACTCAGTTTGTAAGACATTTGTAAAAACCCCACATGGTTATTCTTCCTGCATTTTCAAAACATCAACAACACTTATCTGCTAAATCATTCAGGAGTTGGTAATTTCACATGTTTTTAAAGTTTCCAGGTGTTGAAATTGAGTCCCAGGTTTCTTGAACTTAGTCGGAAAAAAACGTGCATTTGTCGTACACCTACAACACTCCCTGTTTTTCTTCTGCAATTTCCCCTGAATCTGACAGGTTTTTGCCGCCTCTGCCCAAGACCTTGTCCCTCCATTAAAATGCTATTCATTGCTTGCCCTACAATTAGTGAAATGGCGTTGATGTGAAAAACGTAACAAATGCATTTTATTTTCACAAATGCACATCCTCAGCAACTGTCATAAAAAGTTGCTCAACAGCCAGACAAAAAAAAAAAAAGTCATATTGCTGGTTTTTGACACACAGTTCATGGCTGTCAGCGCGACCTTAACAAGCAGACTGAGTAATAATCAAAACAATATCAGTCTGAAACCTGCAATCTCTCACAAAATCCACAATGAGCTCGTGTTCAACAACAGCTTTGCTTTTAGCATAACACTGCACCTCATCTCCTCTCCTCGTCTGGTCCTACAGCTTTGGCCGCATGTTAGTTTTAAAAATGAGTGTTGGTTTCAGTGGCCAAATCTAACAATCTGCATCAATGTGTGATGAATAGGCTATAATGGCAAGGTTTATGCCATAGTGCAACCCACCAGGAGACAATGTGACAATGTTTGTAAAGGTGTACAGAGAGACCTCATTAATTCATTTCAGTATCATTTTGCTGTTGGCATTTTTCTCTAACCAGCATGATTCCTCACATCTGGCTAAAACTATCAACAGAAAAAGTAAACTGCCAGAGCAGTGGCTTCTGAAAGTTACCATATGTGAGTACTCATTAAAAAAGGTTTACTGGACTCTTTTTTTTTTACCTCACTGTGCTTTCATCACTGTGTCTTCGGAGTCAAATTAGCTGAGAGTCCACTTCCATGGAGAGAAGCCACAGAATTAAACTGTGGACTGATCAATATCTAAACTGACATGACTGTAACCCTTTCAGCGTTATGCAAATCAACAATTCTTCTGAGATCTTTTTTTTTTTTTGCTAGGCATGGTTCACATCAGCAGATGTTTCTTGTGAATGGCAAACTCAATAGTGTTTTTATAAGTCAAAGTAGCTCTAACCCACACCTCTAATCTGCTTTCATTTATTGGACTCCATGTTTTCCAACTCCTGTTCTCCAATTAGCTTTTGTTGATACCAGTACTTTTTCCAGCCTACACACTGAATGTTTGAAATGATGTTTTTAATATGGACGAGAACAACACAATGATTTGTGTTACTAATTAAAATAGACAGAAGAGTGTTTGCTCATTATCGTAACGTGCAGCTCTGACCATACTTTAGGACAAATCTATACATAAATTCAGGTAATTCCAAAGGTTCACTTACCTTTTCTCACCACTGTATGTATGTTAATGTATATACATCATTCAAAAATTCACAGAGTACGTTGGAAAAAGTATGTGACCCCTCAGATACTGACATCAAGAAAAAGCTAATTGGAGTCAGGAGTTATCAAACATCACTTAAACACAATTGGAGATGTGGGTTAGAACTACTTTGACTTATAAAAACACTACTAAACACTAATGGCATTAACAAAAGCTAATTGGAAACGGGGGTTAGAAAACCTGGAGTCCAATAAATGAAACCAGATTGAAGGTGTGGATTAGAGCTACTTTAACTTCTAAAAACAGTTTTGATTTTGCTATTCACAAGAAGCATCTGCTGAAATGAACCATGCCTCATCAAAAACAGATCTCAGAAGACTTCTGATCAAGGACTGTTGATTTGCATAAAACTGAAAGGGTTATAGTGTAATCTCAAAGAGTTTAGATATTGATCAGTCCACCGTCAGAAAAGTGACACAACGCAGAATGCTCAGTGAGGTGAAAAGGAACTTCAGAGTAACAGCTGAAGCTGGTTAAAATCTCTATTCACAAGTCCACAATTTGCAAATCATGGAGCGTGGTGCCCATGGCAGGACAACACAGAGGAAGCTGCTGCTCCCGGAAAAGATGTCACTGCACACCTGAAGTTTGCCAAAAGCACCCTGACCTTGGAGGGAGCATCATGGTTTGGGGCTTTGCTGCTTCTGGGCCTGAACATCTCAACATCATCAAGAGGAAAATGAATTCCCAAGTTCATCAAGGTCTCTTGAAGGGTAATGTCAGGGTGGCTGTCCAGCTGCTGAAGCTCAGAGTAAATTGCCTACAGAATGACGTCAAACAAAGAAAATCCACCTGTTGGAGTGGCCCAGTCAGAGCCCAGACCTGAAGAGAGACATTCACACTACATCCTAAGAACATGTTTGAGCTGAAGCAGCTCTGTAGGAAGAATGATGCAAAATTGATCAGAAGCTCCTGGAAGAGCTTATTTGAGGTTATTGGTGCCAAAGGAGGTTGGACCAGTTATTAAATCCAAGGGTTCACTTACTTTTTCCCACCAACACAGTGAATGTTTAATGGGTGTGTTCAACAAAGACACCATAGTTTAGAATTGTTTGTGTGTAATTAGCTTAAGCACATTGTGTCTGTCTGTACTTTGTCTGTACAAGATCAGATCACATTTTATGACCGATTCATGTAGAAAACCAGGTCAATCAAAACTTTCTTGCTACTGTACATAATTCTGCACATTGAAGCTGAAACATCCAAATGAAGTAACAATAAGTAAAACACATTTTTTAAGTGGAGGCAGACTTTATGTTCTGAACCTCAGTTCATGTATCTTGGAAACTTAAGACTCCAAGATAGAAACATTTTAATATTTTAGTCAATAAGTTTGATGGAAAAGCAAACCATAATGTAACTTAGAGAAACATTAATATATCACAAACTGACATTTTTTGACATAAAGTCTTACAAACCTACCCAAGATTTACCCTGCAGTTAAGATTTCTAATTAAAAATACAACCATTTTGACAATCAGTATAAATTACACACAAAAGATGTGGGAAGAGATTTTTTTTTTTGTACATACTAGCAGAGCCACCCTTTTCCCTTGTTTCGGATATGGTCTCTTTCAGACAATGTTCTTGGCACACAGGCAGAAACAAATTGAAACTTGGGAGCGAAATACAAAATGCTCTTCTAAACAGCAGGGAGCAAGCGCTCCAAGGAGAGAAAGCTAAACTCACCAACAATGGCTGCACCTGCTGCAAATTTATTTTCCCCTCATCCTCAACACCCCTGCCAGCCACCAAAAATAGGAAATTAAGGTCCGAGTTACATGATTCCTAAATGATGAAGTCCCTCTCGCTTTCAAAACTTCAAACAGTTCCCTCCTGCTGTTCCCACTTGGGGATTCAAGTGCAAAGATGCCTGGTGCACCTTTCAACAGTTGAGTTGTTTGCAAAGAGGTTTGAACTTTTTCAGATTATGTGCGATTTACAGCCAAGTGAATTCACTGGCAGTAGCAACAGTAATTGTATTTTTATGTATTTGTTATTTATTTGAAGTATTTTTGGCTTTGTTTTTTGTTCTATTAGTTGTTGTTTGGTGGGTAGTGATGTGTTGAAAAGAAAACAAGAAAAACTTTTATTGGTGTACCATGACTGACAATCATGTTAAAAGAAGAAGAGGCCTCAGTGAAGAGAGGTTCAAACCAAGGGGGAAAAAACCGTCCACGGCATTTAAAGTCAAGTCCTAGGAGAGCTGGTCCCTCTATTGCCCTTTACTGGTTGGCTGCAGAACACATTGAAATTCCACACACTTCAATGTGAGTCAACAGCACCAAAACCCATTATCATCGTAGAAAATAAAGTCGTGCTGTCTGATCATGTCAGAAATCAAAAGTCTTTATAGTTTATCAGTTTATAGTTTTTCCAGATTTTCAAACAGTCCCTCCTGCAAGATATTCTAGATAGATACTGGCTCCTGTCTCGCCTCCACACAGCTGGCCAATCATGGCCACGTGAAGTGGGTGTGACTGTCAGATCGTCAGTTTCGGAAAGTGACAGAAATGGTCGAACACTAACTAATTTGTGGGGGGTTGGGGTTCCAAAATTATCCAAGCATCCAGCAAGAGCAGAGTTTAGCATCCCCTTAATGTGTCTGTACATGTAGGTCTGTAGTGTCTTTGTCTTGCTTCAAAAATATAAACCTACCATGTAAAATCAAACTTCCTGGGTTTCTAACATACCATTCCAAAGTCAACAGCCACTTTATCCATTTCTTTCCACTCTGTATGGTTCAAACTCATCGTCATGCAATAATAGTACAGCGGCAGCTCAAATCTTCAACATAAATTTAGAGCGCCGTGGATTTGTCAACCAGCCACCTTCTGTGATTAAGCTTCCTGTTCCTCTTAATAATGGCTTACATCCATATATGTTTGAAATGTCAATGTGTTTGTTGCACAAATGCTGCAGTAAATCCTTATCGTTGCAATACAATCCCCTGACTGCCAAAGCTACTGTAGGCATTTAAGTCTAAAAATCTTTCTATATCAGCAATATAAACTGAATCCTTGGTGTAAAAGAGTGATGGAGGCATTTGAACATCAAGTGCAGTGAAGCGTGATACCTACCATATACATAGAGGATATAGTCGTCGTAGGCCTCTCCCACAGCATTGGACGCCACACAGCGATAGGTGCCATTGTAGGACTTGTTGAGGTTCTCGATGTAGAGATCAGAGCCGGTCACCACAGCGTGAGGCGGCACATCCTCGTCTACTCTCAGCCAGTTGATCTGATGGGGACTGGAGAGCACAAATACCACACACATCACTCAGGCTCTGTCTATCCACGCTAGAAATCTGAAATAAAGGTCAAATCTGAGATTGTCTGAGGAGGGCCATTGGCAGGGCCTGTCTAATGATGTCCTTTATACAGCGTGCTAACAACTGGTAACATTTAAATGGTACAATGAAATGCAAAGGTTAGAGGGTGCTTGGACAGGCAGAAAAGGGATATACAGTGGAAAGTACGAAACTAAACAGAAATTTCAGTGTTCGGAAGTTTTGAAGTGTATCCATCCGTGTGAGTACTCACTGTGGTTTTCCTTCTGCGATACAGGTCAAATCTAGGTTGTCACCCTCTCTGGTTAAACCTTCAGGATATGTCACCACAATCTTCACCTCTGGTTTATCTGAAAATAGAAAAAAGATGAGTACTTACAATGATCCAGTGTCATAAGTTATGACAAGACAGCATTTTTTTTTTCTCCTCATACCTGCAGACAAAGCAAAAGTTAAATGATCATTGGGCTCTGAGGTGAAGCGCTGAGAGAAACAGACTTTTAAATGAAAGCAAAACAGCCGAGAGTGAAACATAGCAGAGGATGAAATGATTATCCGATTGCTCAGTAGACATCCAGTGAGTCTACAGTACCTTTCAGCAAAAATGATTTTTTCCTCTTATCAATGCTAGCCAAAGATTACCAAAATGTCAAGCGGTTCCAGTCAAGCTTTCTCTTTTTCCTTGAAAGGTCAGACAAAACAGTTGTCTACCTGAAAAAAAATTAACATTCTACACAGACTACAAAAGGATACCTTAACCTTTCTTTAATGTTTAACAGTGTAAGGAAGCCTGTATTACCTCTTCAATCAATGCACCATTTAAAGAACACCTAAACATCATTTGACACCTGAGTTTTTTATTCCCTTGTGATGACTGTATCCCATGGGCTGAGGCACTAGTACACTGTAAGATTACGATGCCAGAATGGATCTATGATCCATAGATAACAGTGTCAGGCAGTGCAAAAACGTATAGTACATCTATGATCTGATGGTCAGAGGATACCACTGAGCGTCTGTCTACCTGGGGCACATTTCACCAAGGCATCCTAAAGAGTAACTGCACCTAGTTTGTGGATGTACTTTATCTCTCTGTAGCTTTTCTCTTGTAGCCTCTTTGTAGTAGTTTTGAGTCTCTAATTGAATTTTAAAAAAATACAAGCCTCATTTTGCTTATTTTTGTAAGCTGTGGTTGTTTTGCATGTCTTGTTTTGTCATGTTTTGTGTATCTTTGGGGTCATTTTACATCTCTGTACTTGTTTTGTATATCATTGTAGTTATTTTGCATATCTTTGTAGTTGTTTTGAGTCTCTTTGTAGTTATATGATTGACTTCCCAACAGGAAAAGTTTACATTAATCTCAAATAGAAGCTCTGTCCCAGGGATCCCCTGCACCCAGTATGCCTGTTCAGAAGTTAAAATATACTGGAATAGAGTTCAAGAGGAGCACTATATAAATCTTTTTCGCAATATATACATAATCACATAGACTCATGTTGGTGTAATAATTTCACAGAGGTGCTTTTTTTTTTTTTTTTTTAAGGCATTTTATGCCCAAAAATAACTTCATCTCCTTGGAGTTATTCTGCCTGAGATCTGTGTCAGTGTTCTGCGTTTTCAAAAAAGTAAATTATATCAATTAATCATTTTTTTTAATTTTCAAAACTGATTGTTACTGTTAGTGTGTGGTATATTTGAATGATCAGAAGTGTCTGTACAGATACATGATATCAACAAATGTCACAGCCTCACCAGTAAGTACTTAAGACCCTCATGAGCCCAGGCAAGAGACAATCTCTGGCACTGTCTGTGGGGCCTTGGTGTAGTTCTAGTCTTGAATAAGTAATGTTTTAGGCCACTCACACAGCACTTCCAAGTGTCTTTGAGCCAGGAGGTCCTTTACAGCTGGGTGGTCAATGATGCAGTCCACTGGCACTCCATCGTCCTCTTTGGTGACAGAAAATTTTACCCGGCTGGTGACAGTAAACATCCTGTCATATGTCTCCTCAACTGCCATCTCACCTAGAAAAACCATCATATACACGAGAGGGGAAAAAGTTAATGACTAAACAGCTCAAAAACAAATCTGAAATTCTGCAGCAGCACCAACCTGAAGTGGCCATAATGAGCAAATAGTCATAGCTATTAAGAGCACATTACCTGTCAAACTGGAGTGTGTTCAAATGGCATTTACATTTAATTTATGATTCAGTGATGTGGTGCCCGAACGAGACTTTAGAGGATTCAGGTGAGCCAGAGGCCTTCAATTCTGATGAGAGCAGTGAGGAGCGGCTGGGTCATACTAGCCTGATAATGAATGCCTCTGCAGCTCGAGGGCTGAGCATTGTTGGGGCTAACCCTGCAGTAATCTGCTGCCCACTAGGCCCTAGGCTGTCAGAGGGGCATTCATTTAGAGAGCATTACAATGCCACAGGGGCATCGCATTAGCCGTAGTGCTGAGTGTGATGGTTTACTCGCACTTAATGAAGTGAGGAAATAATTACAGCCCCACTCTGACCTGCAGCACACTTCCATTTCAGCCTTGTCACAGGGGAGCCCGGCTGGACTCGGGGAGGGCAAAACACTGTTGTTCCACAGTTGGTGATCACCAATACACACACATGTGGCCTCTTGATGGATATTAACCCCATTTAACACACACACATCTACCCAAGAGCTGCCTACATAAAATTTAAAGTACTGGGATTGGTAAGTGGTCAGTGCGCTTCAGGGTGTTAAATTTGACCACTTTGCCAAGTGTGGTCAGGCTGTTTGAAAAGCACACTGACTGTTAGAGAAGAGTAAGTAAGTAATAACAGTCACATTATAATAATAACAGCAGGAATAAAAGGTGTGATGTTGTGATGAGAACACGTAAAAATAAATGTTTAGAGACTGTGATTATCTTGGTGTTTTGTTACAGAATCAGCCAGATGGCAAACAGGACTGACTGGCAAACAGTTCATTTATTAACATTTGAACACATTAAAACCCCAAATGAGTAAAGACATAACAGGATGTACAACACATAATGTCCTGTCAGTATAAAAGTACGGATCTAATGTTATACATTTCTTTTCCCCTTGTAGGCTGTTAACTACAGCAAGTAATTTGACTTCACTCTAAAAAGCACTGAAAGCATTAACGTGATACACAGCAAATTAGTTAATCCCAAACATCTTTAGTTAAAGCAGAGTGCTGTGATCAGTGGTAACAATCTCAGAACGATGCCATCTTGTTCCTCGCCAAACAACAGAAATTTCATATTAAGAGCTTTTTTTGTCGCCATGCAATCACAAAACCCGACAATAGGTCACATTTGTAAGGTCAGCGAGGGTGTTTCCAAGAGCTGGGTGAAGTGCAGTATGAATTGGAGGGTTGTGGTGATTAGCCATTATCCTCTCAGCCAGTCACAATGATTGTCTCATACCAGCCACAGTGCTGCATTATAAATAGGCTCAGAAAAAGGCTTCTTCAAATAGGAAAATAATATCAGTGTCCAGGAACTTCAGACTGGCATAACACAAACATGTGAGAGGGCTAAATTGTTATCTCAATATTCGCATGTTTATTTTCCAGTATCTATTAGAGCTGAAATGATTCGTCAATTAATCAATTAGCTGGATGATAAAAAAATAATCTGCAACCGTTTGAATAATCCAAATTCAGTCACTTTTCAAGCAAAATTGGTGAAATAATGCCAATTTTTTTTGTCATATATCAATTTTTTTTTTTTTTTTTTTTTTTTTTTTTACAATATTCATGTCTGTAATTTAATTTAATTGTGTAATGTAATTTGTATTTAAGATTTGACAAATGTATAGAGACTCACACATTAAATAAGAAAAACTTGGTTATGTTTCATGTGACATGTCATGACTGCACTCCTCTCAATGGAAACTTTGTGGACAACAATACAATGACTGCTGATTTATTAAAAAAAAAAAAAAAAAAAATAGCTCCATTCTGCCTTGTACTACCTTCAGTGCAATGGAGGTCCCATTATGTTGTGTCTCTCATTTGACCTCTGAAACATGCGAAATACCAAAGGGATTGGCAAAACACATTTCAAGGTCAGGAAAATAGCTCTGCCTGGGCTCAGCCCAGTGCTGTCATGAAAAAAAAAGTCCTTAATTTGACTTCTAGTATCAATTACTTTTGAGCATGATTCTTATTACAAAGTCATTTTAATATGAAAAAGAGTTCAGAAAACTAAACTAAAGGTTCCGTGTCATGTTTTCAAAATCTGAATGAGAAAGACAGAGCCAACCAATGCTTGTCAATTAATAGTGTCATGCAAACCAAGACGAGGAAAACAACAGCAGATCAGGTTGTGGAAGGACTCCAATCTGAATGCAGAGGAGATTTGAGTGTTGCAGCAGAGATGTCAAATCAAACGCTCTTGTGAGCATCAACCACCGATCAATCCCAGCGCAATCAAGCATAGCCTCTTCTCAGGGTGACATTTTCTTTCAGTCAGCTTCTAACCCGAGTCTTCTGCCTGCCATCACACTGCAGAGCAGCCACTGATCAAGCTGTTTGAACACTGCTCCAACAGTACTGTGGCACTGGCATTAGCATTAATAAAGCAGGCCAAAATTAAGGTAATATAACTGCCAAAGCACACTGGATCAATATGGAATAATAATTGTGCTATTAGACAAGTTCATTTTAGGCATTTCAAATTTGAGTGTGAGTACAAACTTGAATATTACGCTATCAATTTGAGATAAGCCACTTTTTTAAAAAGGATTTATAAGCTGTTATTAATAGTTAATAAAACTATGAATTAAGTAAAAGTTATAGTAGGTAGTTAATAAAGCATTTATTAATGGTTTGAAGTTAAGTTAAACCAGGATGTTTTGGGTTGCCAGGTTATGAAAAATCTTGATGAATTTAAGACTAATGTGTCATACTGGAGGAGGATTTTTCACAACCTGGCAACCCAAAAGAAAAAAGTTTCTCTTGTTAGATTCATATATATGATATCTGATCTGTAAAGCATTAGCAAATTATTTTAAAGTCATTAATCACAGCTTCTAAAGGGTGCCTTATTAGAAAGTGGTACCCATATTACTTTTTACAAAATATGAAATATTCTAAAATTGACCTTCACTGAGTTGACTTTTCTGTAGTTTTTGCCTGTATCCCATAGCCTTCTTCTGTGAATGGAATTTGGTTAGATGCCACCGAGTTTCAATCAGTGAGTAGGTGAAGTGAATGAGTGAATGATTATTTTTGGACAAAAATTCTTTCATGTTATAAGAGCTGCTTTTGAAATGTGTCAATAAATATGAATATTTATCAGAGACATCCCTCCCCCCCCAAGGTCAAAATTGAAACTACATGTTCAAGCTCTTATAAAACTTGCTTATAAAATTATAAATAAAACTAAAAAAGCAAAAAAAAAAGAAAAAAGCTTTTATTTTATCTGCAAAGAGATTCCCAAAATGATTTTTCCTGAATACTGATTGTTGCCATAATCCAAAATCGTTAAAAGCTGAATTTTAAATTGGGTTTGGTGAATTTTTTTTTAAAGTGTGTGTAAATAGCATTAAATTTTAAGTTGTTTTCCACCTAATCAAAACAGAAAAAAAATACAAGGTCTACTCTCTGTAAAAAATTCTGAATAAATCCAATGCATGCAGTTTCACATAATCACATACAAATTTTAGAAACACATTTAAATGCAGCTGTCTGAAGGAACAAATCTCCTCCTGTACTTTAGCAGCAGTAACAGCTGAGCACTGGGCTCTGCTACATTTAAATAATGTTGCAGCTGTCATTTATGCTAACAAGCATTTTGCCACCTTGTGTGTTGAGTCTCTCTCAAGCCAGAGCCCCATCAGTCCTGTACCTGCCAGCATGATAAATGGTTGCAAAAGCAATTCGTCCAATTTGAAAGTGTGTTTAAATTAGCCAACAAATTTATTTCTTGCCATTACGGCTGTCTTTCCTACACACAGGCATAAGACAAACATGATCACAGAGATTCTATAAAACCAGCTTGATGTGTGCCTTTTAATGTCGATATGCGCAGGAGCTAATGAATTGTTTAGCTCGTCCATAATGAGTAGTGATTTCTGTTTCCTGGGGTACAGGAGGACGTGACTCTCTGGCTCTCCTTATGTACCCACTGCCACTATGGATTAGCCCCGTTCAGCATGTCAGTGGCATTTCGCTGATCTAACCATCCTGTTGTGTCTCCCTCCCCTACAAAACACTTGACAACTCATAAACAGAAATTGACTTCGACTCCTGTAGGGAACACTGGAGGCACAGATGGCATTTAGCTTCAGATTCGCTCTTGTCTAAATATTTCATCTCTCAACAAGCCAAATGAATCCTCTCCATTCTAATACATATATAATTTGACAACAAGCCCAGAGATATCCACTCTGTGTAAATACGATATGACTAAAATGAATATCCCCCTTGCTGTACAATAAGTGTGTAATGAATAATTGATCACCCCTAATCATAACTGAGAGGTAATAAGGATTTTTCACCACCCCAGATTATATACCCCTCTCTGCAATGGCCTGCAGCTGGCCAAAAGCACTGGAGTGGAGATGAGATGTGTAAATACAAGTTCATGACCATGTTTACCATGTATAGAAGTGTTAAAGTGTATGCTTAAAATCATATCTCATGAGCAGTCAAGGTGTAACTATATGCTCACAGTAAATATTTAATCAATTTTAAATCCAACAAGATTGTATTAAATCAAAATTACAATATAAAAGTGGCTTAACAGCAAATGCTTTGTAAGGTTTATGAGAAACATGACATAACCTGAGCCTGGACTCCAGCTCTTGCAGTTCTGAATGCATATTTGATCATTACATACTGTAGCTAAGACTTAGCAGCCCAGGTTTATGGACAGGGGATTTTACACACAGGTAAAAATAAAAATAAAAATTGCCCGACATCAGTCGTATAGGTCAGGCATCATTATCTTCCTATAGATGTCAGTCAACATAATCAGTACACCACACATTAATGTTTTAGATGAGAACTACATTTTGTTCACAGAGGAAGGGCCTCCAGAGACCAGGACTTGTAAGCAAGTGGACAGGCCTGGAGCATGTGAAGCAAACCAGGGGAGGCTGTTATTCTACTGACCTGTCAGTTCCTCCTCCCCTTTCATCCATCTGATGGAGGCAGCTGGCTTGCTGCCCATGGCTGTGCAGGTGAGCTCCGTCTCGTTCCCCTCGCTGACCACGTCCTCCCGGCTCTCGATGATTGGGCTGCCTGGCGGGACTGAGCCACAGCAACAGCAATGGTCAGCAGCATGACAACATTTATATATGCGCACATAAAATTTGGCAACACAATGACAAAATAATAAGGGTACAAACACATTCTTAAGTAATGCATGCATGCCTGTTTCTCACCATTAAGGGAAGATCAAGTCATTAACATTTAAAATTAATTTATTGATGATCTTTTATGTCACAATTACCTCATGTATTGATTTAAATGCCACCAAATTAGCTGGAATCCAGTTACATAGGAAAGGATATTTAAGCCCCTCTAAAAGCAAAGCAGTACCCGTCCATACTTACTTTTAGTGGATGTACATTAAGTAATCATTTGCAAAAAATGGTAAAGGTAAAAAAAAACAAAAAAAATATTGATCTCGTGCGTGAAATACTGGATGAGCACTTCATGTGTCCTATTTACTCTCAGGAGTAAATGTATTGGGTAGGCCTGTGGCCCTTCTGTTACCATTAACAAATCTGTCCATTTTCCCCTCACTTGTCAGCAGGCGCCTGCTTGATGTTACTGAAGCTACATTTGTTGGACAAATAAACCCTATCTTGTAACTGAGACATAAACAAGGACCGCTCATGCAGTAAATGTCTGCATCGTACCAATGGTGCCAGGATCGATTGATAGTGCAATAACATGACTTTGCATGTAATTTACTTACCCAACATTTAGATGGATTTGGTGTTGGGTTCCTCTTTAAGCAGGTACAATATTAACCATGTTTACCTTTCTAGTTTAGTTCGTTAGCATGCAAAACTATGGCTTAGGTTGATGGGAATAGCAGTGGGTTTGGAGGTATTGGTTCATAAACTAAAGTATTGAACAAATTAAAATTCTGACCTAATTGTGCTCTTTGAAAAGTCAGGGGATTACTTATATAGCATTGACATATACCTTTTAAGTCGATATGATATGGAGTACTCAATAGCAAACAGTTGCATATTGATACTTCCAGTAGTTATGATGCACATTATCTCCACTGTGTTCACCAGCTAGTTGCTCACTGTGTTGGTTCTACTGTTTGGTCCTGAGCCGGTTGAGTACACTGGGTTTTTAAAACTTTTTTACTGAAAAGAGTTGCCTGCTACATCTGAAAACTATGCTATGAGAGCAGTGATAGTAAACCAACACAGAAAGTTAACAGACTGGACAGTTACACAATGAGCTGAAACTCTGTAAAGCTGAGGGGAGCTGCATATTTGAGTGATAATTCTCTAAGTTCATTGCTATGAGCAACCCCTTTCACATCGTCGTATTGTTTTCACATCTTCAAAATGAATAGCGGTTTGTATGTCTGATGTAGAAAACGTCATGGCAATCCATCAAACAGTTAGGTTGAACCACCAATCATAAACTCAGTCACTTAATCATTTCTTATAAGTGAGCAAAATGAAATTATGATACATCCACTAATCATGTGTTAAATCATCATGAGTCATGCATTAGCCATGCATCTTTCAAGGATGTGTTTCATACCCTCATTATAAAGTGTTATCTGAAATTTTATGCCAATGTTATGTAAGTATATGATTACAGCCTATAGTTACATGGGTGTAAAGTCTACTACAAACAGAACAAGGCTCAGTTGTCCCTTGTCCCTGGCCTTAGTCATCGCAGCAAACTTGCTAAACTCCAATTGCTTGAAATCAAAAAGTCAGTGGGGAGTTTATTTCAAGGACTCTTCAATGCAACCCTTGGTTCAGAAATACTGCAGCTAGGTTTCAATTGTACAACTAGAGTAATTACTTTAAAGTGCTTTTAATTCCTTTCAATCCCCCAGGATGTCTGCATGTATAATAAAGCTTAACTAGAGTAATTTCACTCCAAAGCATCAAAGTGTGGCACAGCTGACTCTCAATAGGGAATCGTTTGGAGCAGCCAAGTCAACATTCACCGGGATTCACAGAGTCAACACAGCTGCCAAAACCAACGCGGTCTGAGCCATCAGTTTCAGCATCTGCTCCTTTTCGTTATGCTGTTGAGCACCGCGAGAGCCTAATTGGCTGACATTTTGTTTCAGTTGCTAAAGATAACGGGATCAAAGATTACGATTATTTCACATTCACTATCTATAGCTGAGCGAAATACAATGAAAGTGTGCTTGAGGAGGGGTGTGATATGTGTGTGAGGTTCACACATGCACCCTCACACCTACCCAGGACAGTGATGTCTGCGTAGGCTTCCTGAGGAGGATCTGTGTAGAGCTGGCACACATAGCGTCCCTCATCGGAGAGTGACACATTGGACAGAGACACCCGCAGTTCGTTGTCAGAGAAATTCACCAGCTGGAACCGGCTGTCCTTCAGAGCTGTGGGGATATATGTGAGACAGAGACAGTGAGGATACAGAGTACAGGGACACAAACGTGAGACATGGAGTGAGGAAGAAGAGGGAAGGGGGAAAATGGGAAGTGGAGAGGGGTGAGAATGAGAGAGGACATGGAGGAAGACGAAGGAGTCGTAAGGAAGAAAATGAGTTAGAGAAGAGTGGGGGATTGCTACCCTTTTGTGGGCTTTCTCCTTAATTGAGTAAAAGAAAAGTGAGTTTCAAAATGATTCATACAAGTTGATTTATAAAGTAGCTTTACAGTCCACAGAGCACTGGCAAAGACAGGAAAGTGTGAAGAGTGCTCATGAGGACTCCTAACAAGCTAGGAACTCTTAAAATGGGCTGCTGCTGGTCATGGATGGATGCATCAAACTCACATATTCCAGAAAAAGGAGAGGCATTCAAACATACATAATGAATTAAATCACAGTGCGGAGGTAGAGAGGGTTGGATGCCTGAAACTCCAAATCAAAAGTAGCCAGGAATCTGTATACTAATGCCTGTATAGATTGGCTGAATTTTCTTTTAATGTTGTCAAACTAGGTTATCCATCTCTCTCAGAGTTTCCACTCTGTTTTTCATTTGGCCAGCCCTCATCCCTGAGCACTCTTTTACATAAACAGCTTTGGTTGATTTGATTGGGAGCCCTTTTGATGTTTTGACCTGCCTTCTTTATCAAGTCCTCTCTGCATCTGTCGAGCTAACGAACTCTATTCAGCCCCTATTTAAAGCACGGGGAGTTTGTTATTCCCGTCAGGCTTTACACTTAGCATCATGATCATTACCCAAGGTCTCAGGGCAGTGTCAACATGAAACCTCATCCCCCAATATAATTTGAGAGCTCTTTGGAAGTCTCTCCTCAAAGGGAAACAATGACACTGATGCACTTTGAGAGTAGAAGCACCTGCTAGGGAGGGAAACCCTTCACTTCTGAGACACTGAATGTAGTTTAAACGAGGCAGTTTCATAACTGCCTGACTGCTTACATAAGAGCATGGAGGGTGCACATTATCTAGTATTTATTAGTCAGTGTTTAGTCATATTTACACCAAACTATATTTACATATTAGGGCCACAATCATTTTCATTAGTGATTAATATGCTGATTATTTTTTTCATTCATAATTTTTTAAAAGCTCATCAAAGTTTCCCAAGACCCAAGATGTTGGTTTGTCAGACCAACAGTTGAAGTTATAGAAAGGTATCCACTTTACTCTTTCAGAAGACTAAGGAAATATTCAAATTTGAGAAGCTGATGCCCGTGAATCTTAAGCACTTTTTGATTAAAAAAACAAGGCACATGATTAATGGAACAGTAAACCTGTCCCTGATTAATTTTATTCTAGTCAAGTTACCACTTAACTAACAAATAGTTTCAGCTTGTTTTGTGCTGTTGCCCTCATTGAAGCTCTAAATATCACATGGAATTAAATTAATTAATTTAATTAAACTAGATTTTTAAAAGGGCTGTGTATAAGAATTGGCCAACTGTCAAATTCATACACTAAACAAATATTAGTTTATTATAACAGAGAGTTGGGGTGTCCATAATTTTTACTGGTCCTCTCTGTATACCTGTCACTCAGGGTGTGCATGAGAGCTGCATGCGCGTTCTGGGACTTGGCTCACTGGCCAATCACAACCAAGTCCAAACTCTCACCCTTACACTGAGCTTATGTTAGCTTGAAGAAATCTAACCTCAGCGTAGGGCAGTTGTTGACATGTTGCCAAACCTACATGGATTGAAGGAATAATGTTTTCCATGCAGGTTTACCTTATAATCTGATAATGTAACTGGTAGGTTGTTGTCTTCAGTTATTGATAGACTAATGATGATGATTTCACACCCAGTCTGCTCAGTCAGAGAGACAGGGAAGATGTAGTTGTGGCTGGAAGAGGGCCATGAGAACAATTGCAGCAGCATCAATAGCTGAGCTTGAGGAAAAAGTGGAGGAACATCGCAGACCCTCTGTATGGCTGCAACACATGTTTATCGTCTACCCACAGTTACTACCTCTTCATCCTCTCATGTTGGCCTGAGGGCTGACAGGACGCTATAGTTACACTATTGCCTCTTGAGGTGCAAAGTGGTATTATGAGACGGGACTAGGTCTAGCTGCTAGGTTAGCCTGCTAACATCGAGCTTAAGTTGTGGGTTGGACAGCTAAACAATGAGCTGAAACTCACTTTAAAGCTCTGTACAGCTGAGGGGAGCTGCAGATTTGGGTGATCATTTTCTGTAGGTTCATCACAACGAATGACTCCTTTCACATTGTCACACTATTTTCACCTTGAATTGATACATTGTTGTTATGAAAACAGTGATTATAGCAGCTTTAAGATTTAAAACCAGGTTTTCAGGCGCTTTCAACCTATAAGAGTCAAGTATTTGATGCTAAAAGCAGAGACGTCTTTTCGTAGAATATCACTTTAAAGATTAAACCTTTGTAACACAGAGTCAGACAACTGCTGAACAAAAATGCACTGAATAAATAATGGCTTGATATTGCATCACCATCTATAGAGGTCCACCTTTGCTGATAAATGCTCATTTTTCCCATTTCAAATGACAACTCTGCCAAATTGCATGTCATTTTGCATATATCTAGCAGAATAAATGGCTCATCCCAACAAGACTCGCTCAGCCTCTATACCTATGACATAATTCATCTTTATTTACTGTAATAGAAATTGCTTTACTGGGCCTTCACTGGTACTGTAAAGCTGCTATCATTTTGGGATTTGTGTGCGTATCTGTTTCTGTGGCTGCCGCTTCGCTTGTAGCTGCTGTTCTTGTAGCACCTGGTGTGTCTCTATGTCACTGCTGTTTACTTCCTTGTATACAAAGATCTGCTACTGTGTCGAGCGGCCCTGTTGACAGGTAACAATGGCACTGGCTGAGGGGGGTCCCCCACTGAACCAGCAGTCCTTTAGGAACAGAGCCTAGAATAGCGCTGCCATGGGGTTCACTAGGCCCTATTACAAGAAACACAAACATGCAGCAGCCGAATAACATTTTGGCCGTCTGTCAGAAACCTGACATATATTCAGATCTAATTGCAGATAAACAAAACAGTTTGTGTTTTGAAATTGACAAAGGCACTGTATTGACTAAGGCAGAGAAAATTAAATGTTTACAAGCCCACGTAGAGCAGCTCAATAAAGAATGAAGAGGACAAGGTTGTCTTAACCTCATGGAAAGATTTGGTTAACAGTACAGAGCTAATATTGATTTTTACTAGGATGTAAGAGCTAATTACTCATTGTTGCTTTTCTAAACCGAAACATTCCCAATCTCTATCTACTCCATAGTGTCGGAATAAATATTTTTAGATACAGAGTACAACATGACCTATGCTTTACATCAATCCATTTTTGTCTGCCATATTCTCAGGCAGCTTTGGGTACAAATTTTGTACAAATATGACGAAGACGTGTACTGAAACTCCCCTGATGCTCTTCGCAAGTGAGAAAATGGAACACACGTCTCGCTACCTAGACTTGTGAAATAACAGCTGGGATGCAATACAGACTGAAATGAAGGGTGTTTCTCGTTCACCTTGAATCTTGGCTCAGATCCCAGATACAAACAAGTAAAAAAGCAGAGACAGAAACTCGGTTCAAAGTAGAAGTAGCCCATATGCTCATGCATAATCATAATGTTCAATATCCTAATCTAAGAGATTATCGTAAAATCGAACAGTGACAAGGACACAAAAGTATTCCCATTATGGTAGCACTGTGAATTATCTCATATTAATCTTGCCGCATTCGGAGCTTAATGACTTGTGCAAAAGAGTCAGAAAGTCAAGGACAGATGGAATCACATTTGCACAGAAAATCTAACCTACAGCTGGAGCTGATCTTGTAGTGATATCTGATACCTTCACTGTAATGTCAAAAGCAAAGGGATTCCTTTAGTACAGGATGCCCTGAAATTTAAAACTGACACAAACAGGCATACATCAGGGGAAAAAAACTATTGTAGCAGTGCAATTTCTTCTCACAAATGTGGTGAAATAAGCACAAAGTATGACGTCTAGACTAGACGTTGTGGTCACAGTTATATGAGGAATATTCAACAACAGATTGGATTTTGAGGTGCATTATCAGCCATGTCATTTTCACCTGTTTGTCCTGTGAACAGTTAAGTTTAGTGCTACAACTACTGATAATCTTCATCAATCTATCTGCCAATTATTTTCTTGATCAATCATTTGCTTGTTTGGACTCTAAACATCAGAAAACAGTGAAAAATGCCTATTACAGCTCCACAGAGCCCAAAGTAAATGTCTTGTTTTGTCCGAATTACCGTCTGAAATCCAAAGCAAACACATTTGAGAAGTTGGAGCTTAAAGCCACCTTCCATTTAAAAATGTCTTTTGCTTCTTGTTTCTTTGTCTGGTGCTTCACAGTGCAGGTTGGTGTATGTGCAGCATTTGATATTAGAAGCCGTTTTCACATTCATCTGCTGAAAGGAGGAAGTTTCTCTGTGCTGAAATCTCAGTTTAAGACGTGGACATATGAGCATGATTTTGTGATATTGCAACTATTTTGGCCAAATGTTGTCCAATATGTAACTTAAACAGGTGTGATGTGGAAACGTGAAGTCTCCGGTGCCTGAAAATGGACTTTTCAGTGAAGTAGGAGACATCTTGTGTCTAGTAGTTAAATAAAACATATTTGCATATTCATTGAGTCTAGACTTTTTTCAGTGAGGGAGAAGGAATAGATGTAGTTTTTTTAACAAGAATTTTTAACAAGATTTTTTAACAAGAATATTCAACTTTTCTGTGGAAAAACTGTGTCAGACACAAATTATTATTCAAAGCAGACTCATTTTATGTGTCTCAAAACATTTCTGGAAGGGATTTTTAAAAAATGACTTCAACAGTGAATAGATTACCAAGATAGTTGCAATTGTAATGTAATTTTTATGTCCATTAATCCATCAACTGATCGTTTCATCTCTAGTTATGTTTTTGCAAGTATTGGTTAGGCTCATGCATAAATGTAACATAAATGGTATGTCTGTGGTATATGTATTTAATTGTTTTTGGTAATGGTTAGTTAAGAAAAAAGAAATTCCCTCTATAGTTACTAATTTGCTGCAGTTTAAAAGGTGTACATGCACAACTACAGCAAATATTGCAGATTTAATGATGAGGTGGAGTGGATGCTTACAATATAGAGCTTTGGTGATCTATTTCTTGTCTTTTTCAGACAACTTTATTACTGAGACCTTTATGTAGTCGTTTTGCTTTGGGAGAACAGATTTCTCCCTCTCTCTCTTTCTTTTATACAAGGACCATTTTAAGACATGGTGCTTTAAATTTCAGATAATGTTGTGAACATTGTCTCTGGGGCACTTACGTCGAACATCTTTAAAGTAGATGGTCTGTCTGTTGGGGTTGAGCAGCTGGATGACGGAGTCGTCGTTGTTCTTCACTCTGCAGCTGATGGTTGCCATTTCCCCCTCGATCACCGACACGTTGTCAGTTGCTAGGTTCTGACCTTCGACTTCACAAAACACAGACAAAAAAATACAGATGGTACAATGATATTTAAAATGGAAGACAAGCATTTCTGTCTGGATATTTACAGCCTATCAAATATTTATATTTCTCACTACAGGGACTACATGTCAACACATGCAAAGTGTAAAGATATGTGAATAGGCTGTGTAGATTGTCTGTTTGCAGCCATGTCTAATCCTTTTAATATAAGAGCCATGTGCAATGTTTGTCACTATTGATCTTCCCCCAGCTCAGAGTGGGCCCTGTGAGTCAGTGCCAGATGGGCTGTAAGCTCTGCTGCCCACAAAGGTAGGGAGAGAGGAGAGGGTAGGAAGAAAGAGAGACAAAGGAAGAGTGTAAGAAAGTGGCAAGTAGTAGATATGGGCGGGGCGGAGGAGGGGAGTAAGAGAGAGGGAGTTAGAGAGAGAAGAGATAGAGAGAAGAGAGAGATGAGACGGGCTGGATGCTGTTGATGGTTAAGCTTTATCAGAGCCCTCCATCTGAGGTTCCATGTGACCAATGTGTGCTCAGTGTGCTCAGTGGCTCTGTTCTGTATCTCTAGGAATAAAAGTGCTGTAACCATCTGAGTTCGTCTCTACACACTGGCACTGATTCCAAAGACAGGCCCCGGACCTTGTCATCGTACCTTACACGCCACACAAAAACCCCCCACACAAAAAGCCTGGCTTTGTTTCCCCTGTCTTCCAAGAGAAAGAAAAAGAGAATCAGAAGTCACCTTGTGCTATATTTATCTGGCAGGAGCCAAAAAAGCGTAAAGAGAATAGAGAATGTGCTTTTGATGTTTTCTTGGGGCTGTGGCTGAGAGTGTTGTACCTCCACACCAGCGTAGGAACAACACTCTCAGCCACGGCCCCAAGAAAACATCAAAAGCACATTTGCATGCCCAAGTTGTCAGACACCTCTATTGCAATTCTGACATTTACAAAGTGGAGGGAAAAAAACACCTGCATTTTCAGATAGTGATAATGGGAATAGACAGCCAAACTAACATGATTCAAAATGAACTCTGTGAATGCGGCAAGCAATAAGAAATTAACCTCCTGTGGAGAAACGATCCTCAGACCTGTCTGATGCAATGAACTACCCATTTCATTCCACTCTGCTGCTAGGGCTCAGGTTCAGGACAAAAGGAAGGTAATAGGTAAAAACAGACAGAGATTATATCCAAATTGTAGACACCGCAACCCATTAACGGTTTATAGTTAATCTGAGATAGGATTTCATGCACTTTATATTCACCGATTGTTAATGTGCACTGAGATAATTTTATATTAAATTGTGAAAAAGGACACAGACATTAGCCAAATTAAATAGTACAGCAGAGGGTGATAGTGAATGATAGTGTTTACTGGAGATAAGTCGTACCTCCTAACAGCCACTAGGGACACATAGGAAAATGATGAATAAGTGTGTAAAAGAATAAGTGTAAAAAAATTCACTTTTTGATATTGACAGTGTTAACTTAACTTGGTTAGTGGTCAAATGCCTAACGTATTGTTTGGATACTACAACACGTTAGGCCTTTCATATTGTCTCCCTCCTCTGTAGAAACTCAAACTATCACTCAGACTTCTGTTGTGTTTTTATTAATGTTGACCTGTCAGTTGCAACAGTAAGACGGACACAGCATGCAGAGATGGTAAGTAAAGTAAAGAGGTGATGATGGACTTAGGACTTCACGTTCTGACAAAGCTATTGCCAGGTGAGAACGCTGATACCAGGCGAGTCTGAAACCCCCAGAATATATCCAATTCCAATGTTCTTGCTTTCTACAATATTGTGCAGGGCAACAACAGCATGGTTAAGGTTAGGGGGAAAACTGTGTTATAGCAATAGTTTGTCTAACCTTTCTGCGGTTAGATGAGAAGGTTGACACCACTCTCATATTTGTCCATTAAACATAATATATATATATATAATATAAATATATATATATATATTATATATAATATATATATATATATTTTTTTTTTTTTTTTTTTTTACTGGAAGTTATGTGTCAGACTATTAGTTGGCCTGGCTGCTCCTTTTTTACACTTTGGTTTTGCATAGATTAAAGATATAACATGTTAATGATAAAGAGCTTTAAAGATGCTGGTTGGAAGATTTTGTTCCCTTGCGTCACTAGCTGTTTTCCTCGGTTTTTGTGCGAAGCTACATTAACCAGCTGTTAGCTCTAGCTTCATATTTACCATAGAGATGTGAGAGTGGTATGAATCTTCTCCTCTAGCTCTCAGTAACTGTCAAATTGTCAAACTATTACTTTAAGGTATGGTTAAGGAAGAATGTTTTTCCCCTTTTCTACATATAGGGTACATTGACATTGAACATAAATCTTGACGTGGAGAATCGTCCAGTTTGGAAATGGGTTGGCTCCAAATCAGTATCCAAGGAGTGATGATGAAAGATACACATAATCAAGCTGCGCTACGTTATTAATGCACAGACAGCATATAACAGGCTTTGATAATAGCCTTTAAAGTCATATAATAAAAATTCTACTTTTTCTCCCAAATCAGATCTTTTTCTTGCGGCCCTTTAGCAATGTAGCCTAGTACTCGGTTGGGAACCACTGAATTAATGAATGAATTAAGGAATGAGTACAGCGAGCCATTAGTAACTTTCAAGCTACACAAGCTGTTTAGAATCTGAAAGTAAAAGAAATAAATAAAGTGAGAGATAATCATAAGCATCAAATCAAAAATAATCTTCATGTGGAGAGCTGAAATGTGTAAGTCTGTAATGATATCAAGTGTGCTGGAGCTCCTCATCTTCTACAGCGCTTAGTGCATCAGCGCTAAAGAAGATGAGGCGAAAGCAATGTGAAGTGTTTTGATGTCTATTTTATTTCATCGCTGTAAAAGTAATATATTTGGCAGTCAAAACAGCAACATAGAGCAGCCTCAAAGCAAGGTTACTCTGCTCCCAATCTGTTGGACTGAGAGAAAGGGAATGCAATAGATAAATTCTCCATAAGGTTTAGCAGCCCCAAGCAAGGTTGGTCCCCCTCCAATATCCTAGCCTAGGCTCATCTCCAATTCAAAACACACATAAATAACGTCGCTGTGATTAGCAATCCCATCAAAGTGAAAACAGGCCACTTTGTGGAACATGGAGGGTTTTGCGCAATTGGAGTAAACATTTTCAATTGCCTCGGCATCCTGGTCATGATTGGGTGCAAATGAGGAGAGGCAGTCATTAATTCTGGGTAGTGGGTGGGGATGGAGGGGGAGTGGGCAGAGGCATGGCACAGATGACTGGCTGATAAATTCACACTCATTCCAGCAGCTGTCTGGAAGAGTAAAGTGCCTGTATCTCTACACATGGCTGCCCTCCTGTTCCTGCATCACAACATACTGAATGAAACAGTCAGAGAGAAATACAGACCTTCAAAAGTCTGTGCGCTCTCTGAGGGGTTGTACAATCTGGCATCAAGAGTCTGGCGTGGAGGCTCGGCTCATCAGCCATCCTCAAAATGCAAAACAGCACCCACCCCAATCAAATTTAACAAAAGTTGAGGAAATCAGGAAATATTAGCGGACCAGCTCCTCCATCAGAAGTTCGGAGACAGGCACCTTTTGAATCAAGTTGCCTTTCTCTTTGATCTTTTCTCTCTTGTTTTGACATCAAAAGACATGAAAGGGGCAGCAAAAAGCTGGACAGCCAGCCCCCAATTCCTCTCCCTTGAGTCACCGCTGTCTGCAGCAGTTGTGTCCTTTCAAGGAACAACCACGACTAGACAGTCATTAACAATAAAAGTTTCTCCCTCTCCTTCTCTGATGATGCCTTCTCACTGCTGTGTGTCTTTATCCCACTCAGTCATTAAACCCTGATCCTCATGATGAAATGCTGTTTTAAGGATGTTCACAAGTGAGAAGGCTTCTGTCTCAGGGTATAATTAGCGCTGTGCCATTTCTCCTAGACCCTGTGCATGAAAAGGTTTCAAAAATTTCATACCCACTAATTTGACCATCTTTCTGGGTTTTTTTTAACCAGTGATAAGCTCTTAGAAGCTCAGTTTGACCATTTAAATGATGCAACAACATGACTAGAAAACAAGGACGTTCAACCTGAGAAAAACATCATCTTCACTTCTTTTCCCCATTGAAACATTACAAGGTGTCGTTTTTCAGATATAAATGAAATGATTCATATACTGTAATGATTGGATACCACTCTCTGAAGGGGCACTCTTAACAAGGTGTTTATGACTCATTAATAGTGGCTCAACGGTTGGTGACTCGCTAACTGAAACTTTATAGATCAGTTTTAAGCCATGAATGAGTTTGTGAAGGATGTGAAAAAATCCTTTTGGATTATGTTCACCTCCCCTTCCAGAAAAGGTCAGGAAAGGGTCTGGGCCAAAAGCGATTTCTTAACAACTTATTAATGGATTACCAACATTTATAACACCATCATTACCAAAGAAAAAGAATAATCACAAGCCAAAGGGATGTTTTCACTACCTGGCAACCCAAAGTGGGCTTGACTGACTTATAATCGATTTATATAGCATTAGTAAATTATTAACCATTTATATTGGATATCCCTATAAACTTTATGAAAAGAATGCTTTATTAGAAAGTGGTATCTACTACACAACACCGTGAACTGCTCCCTTTTAAATGTTAAATGTTTTACTTTATTAAATTAGGAAAAGGAAAGTGTTTCAAGCTCAGTTTTTCAGGTGCAGAGGAATATACCTGGCAAATTCAAAATCTACCAAGTAAACATATTTGAGGGGAGTGCTTAAAAGTCTTGCAGGAACAGCAGTTACAGTTTTTAGGGATTTTCACAGAGACAAAAGAGATGAGTGTACTTAGCACACTGCTCATTTATTACTAATAATTGTTGTGTTTTCTGGCTTTTTGGCTAATTTGATTTTATTCATACCAGGCAAAACCACATAATTGCATTTGTTTAACTTCAGACCATGTTAGAAAGAACACAACATAAAGAACTAAAGGGTTAGTAAACCTGTTTTAGTGAGGCGCTAGTTTGCAGCGAGGCATCAGAGAAGAGAGCAGCACACTCACAACTCGTGTTCCTGAAGAAGAAAATATGTGCTGAAAGATGTTGTTTAAATATTCAATGTATACGTGTTATACTGTTGTGAATAATTCTAGATCAATAACTGTTATATTAATAATATATTGACAAAATAAAAAGTCTATAGTAATTGTTTAGTGAATAATTTGTAGCCATTCTGTCAGCCCATCACTTGGTCAGTCCACCACTCAAATATCTTAGTAACTATTGGATTTCAGATTCAGATTTCTATGCAATTAATGTACAGAAATTCAGGCCTGTACATTCATTTGTCTAATACATGAACATTTAGCTCAAAGCACAGCTGTGAGCTTTGCTGCTAGCATGGCTGTAGACTTGTATTGTTTTCAGTTTAAGAGACAGTTAAAACCAGTTGTGTTTATTTTTTCTGCCAGTATTATTGAAAATGGTCCACCTCCATGTTAGTTTGGCATTTGTGACTATTTGGGTTGTATTTTTATTTTTCATTATTGCTGTCTACTTGAAGAACTGTGGTTTTGTGAGTATCTTTCAGTCCTTCGAATGAATGCATAGTGGCCAGATGAGCCTGGACAGAAATTTGAAACCTGCCATTACATGTGGCTAAGTGTTGATTTGAGAATTAAAAATAAAAAAGAATGGATTGGCATGGTGAGCGGTTTGCCTCTCTCTCCTCCTTCCTGAAGAGAAAATACCAACATAACCAACCATTTATGTAAATATGCACAGATGAACAGACTGCGATGGACAGCCAATCAACAGACACAGACAGAAGCAAGCAAGTCCAAATGAACAGCAGGTAGCAAAAAAAATGAGTACCTGTCACGGTTTCAGCAGCTCCTGTTGCAGCGCAGGCGAGGACGAGAGCAGAAGAGAAGAGAGCAAAAGAGAAGAAAACAGACAGGATGTGAGCAGACAGGATGCAAGCAGACAGCCATATTCCACTGTTTCCACAAAAAAAACAATCATAATTTCTAAATAGGTGTGTTGAAATTATAGCCCCATATACTACAGACCACTTCACTTTTTTTTTCCACATTTTGTTTTAGAATTTATTGCAAAATTCTTAAAAAGGAAAAACTGAAATATCCCGTCGGCATAAGTATTCAGTCCCTTAACTCAGTACTGAGTTGAAGCCCCTTTGGCAGCGATTACAGCCTCGAGTCTTCTTGAGTACAACGCGACAAGCTTTGCACACCTGGATTTGGGGATTTTCTGCCATTCTTCTCTGCAGATCCTCTGAAGCTCTGTCAGGTTGGATGGGGACCGTTGGTGAACGGCGAGATCTCTCCATAGATGTTCGATTGGGTTCAAGTCAGGACTCCGGCTAGGACATTCACAGAGTTGTTCCTAAGCCACTCATGCATTGTCTTGGCTGTGTGCATAGGGTCACTGTCCTGTTACAAGGTGAACCTTCAGGCCAATCTGAGGTCCTGAGCTCTCTGGACCAGGTTTTCATTAAGGATATCGCTGCAACTTTCTCTGTTCAACTTTCCCTCAACCCCGACCAGTCTCCCTGTCCTTGCTGCTGAAAAACACCCCCATAGGATGATGCTGCCACTGCCATGCTTCACCATTGGGATGGAATTGGGCAGGTGATAAGAAGTGCCTCTCACTGAAGAGAGGCTTCTGTCTGGCCACTCTGCCATAGTGCTCAGATCAGTGGAGGGCTGCAGTGATGGTTGTCCTTCTGAAAGTTTCTCCTCCCTCCACACAGAATCTCTGGAGCTCAGCCAGAGTGACCATCGGGGTCTTGGTCACCTCCAATACCCAGGCCTTGCTCTGATCGCTCCAGGTGGCCAGCTCTCGGAAGACTCCTGGTTGTCCCAGACTCCAGTTAAGAACGATGGAGGCCACTGTGCTCGTAGGAACCTTCAGTGCAGCGGAATCCTTTTTCTGTAGCCTTCCTCAAACCTTTGTCTCCACACAGTCCTGTCTCTGAGCTCTGCAGGCAGTTCCTTCCTCCTCACGGCTTGGTTTTTGATCGACGATACATCGTCAGCTGTGACACTTTACTGTATATAGACAGCTGTGTGCCTTTCCAAATCATGGTCAAATCAATTAAATTGACCACAGCTGGACTCCAACCAAGGAGTAGAAACATCTCAAAGATGATTAAGAGACATTGGAGGCACCTGAGATAAACTTCAAGTGTCATAGCAAAGGGTCTGAATACATATGCCAATGTGATATTTACTTTTTAATGCATAATTTTCTAAAATTGTTTTAGCTCTGTCATTATGTGGTACTGAGTATAGATTTATTTAAACACTTTTAGCATAAGGCTGCAAAATAACAAAAAGAAAAAAGTGAAAGGGTCTGAATACTTTAAGAATGCACTGTATTTCTGTAATTTAACACCAATTAAGAAAAACACAAAAAGGCATCATAATGAGCAATTTTTACAATCCAGCTCTTCCACAGGTGTGTACAGTCCTGACATAATGAGCCATTTTCTCCTTTTATCCATTTTCCCTGAGTTTCATATTAATATGGAGGAACAGAGGGAATATGGACTTTGTTTTCTCCCCCTCATGTGCCTGATTGAGATTCCAGCCAGCCTCGCTATGGAGCAGCCACTGCCTGGAGACGCTCCCCTGGGACCCGCGGTGTATCCTGGAGAAGAGAGCACCCATTCGGAACGGTGCCCACCCAAACTGGCATCTCACAGGGCATGGGAGACTGGCATGTTCCCAAGTCCCTGCAGCAGTGCTCAGGGACTGCACCCTCGGGAGAGCTTCCATCATTCATTGTCTGCTATTCATAAACAACCCCACCCCCACCCCCACCATACCTCACACACACGCACACTTCCTCCCCCTGCCCTCTGCTGCACATCCATATCTACATTTTTATATTTCACACACCATCTTTTATTATATTGACATTTCACACACTCTTTGGGGCTTCTGTACTCTGGCTGTGAGCAATGTGAGCTTCAGTGCCAAGCATACAGTATGTTGAAGTGACTGCTTGTCTCACTTGTCATTGTCGGCGTAATAAGGGTGTAAGGTATGACACATGTCCTTGTTACACTCCTTTGTGCATTTTCAATGTGTCAGCAATTCCCTCAGGACAAAAAAGTGTGAGTGACAAATCGCACACGATGGGAAACAACTTTTGAACATTGTCCAGGGGCCTGCCGCTATATCTCACTGGCTTAAGCCTCTGCTTCTTTAAAACTTAAAGTGTCAGTCAAAACTTTATCTTTATTATGCAATAATTTAATATAATGAGGCTTCTGGGGCAATTCTGCTCCAGCTAAAAGTGATTTGAAAAAAAAAAAAAAGAGACCGCAAGTGATAGAGGTTGATAGCCAGACTCAAACTCGAGCCTGAATGAGCACACCGTATGCGTCCCAGTCCAACCAGCCCTCAGGACAGCCCATAATGAGGCATTTGAGCTGCTTTAATTGCCAGGTAATTATAATGTTGTAGCAACATTATGTAAATGGCTCATTATCATCTTGTATGTGTAGTATATCTGCCCTCATTTTATGTTACTTTGTCAGGAGTGTAACCCAGAAAAATGTATCACACTGATACCAGGGCATCTCAATGTTTAATCTTGTCAACAGAGGCCTATATCTAAACAGAGAGGCTTGTGATATAGTGTGGTGACACCTTCCCTAACCCTTCAGTATGATCCACTTCCTGCTGGTGGCCTCTGAAGAGGCTATAAATAGCTTTGTGGTGGTGGTGGAGTGTCTGCTGTGCATCCCTTCTCTCCTCTGTACCTGCAGCACATTAGGTAGAAGTTATGAGGTGCCAGCTCGCCTGTGATTAGATGTCATGGCTGTCGCTCTGCTTAGACAGTGCTGATAGACAGATTTCTGGGGGGATGCGTGTGATGGCATTCGTGTGAGTGCAGCCGTTGCACCAATCTGTCAATCACACTGGATGAGAGCAGGCAGGCCAGCCGTCCTCCAAATAATGTCTGTCCTTGTCTCCTCACCTATTCTCCTTTTCATCCAAATCTCATTCTCCTGTTCCACACAATGAGCAGCATTATGTTCGGAAAAAGAAAAGTGGAGCAATTCCTACTCTCCACCTGCCGTGACTACATTTCCTGTTGGAAAAATGCTCATGCATTATGTTTTCTATAAGAAGTGAGGTTCTAAGTGCTCTGGTATTTAGGCATCTGTGTTCAACCCACTGCCACCCCAATGAATCCATAGTAATCTAGCTTTTTAGTCAGTGAGGCAAACTCAGACCTCTGGAGACAAGATGTCTGTGTAGTAAGAGTGGCACATAGCCTCTCTCTCTCTCTCTCTCTCTCTCTCTCTCTCTCTCTCTCTCTCATCTCGTCTTTCTCTCTTCTTCTCTCTCTCTCTTACATCATCTCTCTCCTCACTTCTCTCTCACTCTTCTCTCTTCTCGCAGGCAGCTGTGACAGCAGAGCCTCTCTCTCTCTCTCTCTCTCTCTCTCTCTCTCTCTCTCTCTCTCTGCTCAGTAAAAGCAGTGGGGTAACACTAATGAGACAACATTTCTTCTCAGTACTAGTGTGATGCCTTTGAATTAATGTTCTTCCTTTCAGGTAAAACATTCCCTTGCTTATTTTATGCTCATGATCTGTAGCGTGTTGCATGTCAACCTAGTGTGTGATTGCACTGCATAAGAGGACACAACAGAGTTGGATGCTGGAGGTTTGTAGTTCCCCATAGAGATCCACACTGGTTACTGTCGTGAGTGTGTGTCTGGAGCGATGCTATCTTACTGTGTGGAGCCCACTGTGTTTTCATTTAATTAGAAGGATCAGAGGTGGGCATCAAACTTTTTTTTCTTCAAGGGAATCGGATGGAGACGCGAGCTCCTGCAGAGTGGACCGAATAAACATTGACAACTTTTGAGGTTAGAATTTTCACAGAAAAAAAAAAAAAAAAAAAAAAAAAAAAAAACAAAAGCAGTCAGCTGCCCCGCAAAAAAACCAAAAAAAACCAGGGTCCTACACCTTATGCTAGTCTTTGTTGTCAGGGATAATCATTTTCAAATCCACATTAAAGAATTCATATATAAAGACTCTTTGTATATAAGAACTAGTATTGGAGGTTTGACAAAAGTGTTAATCCTATTATGGAGCATGGAGCTTTCAATGGTGACCACGGTCCAAAATCTAAATGCTTACTTTCTCACCTGAAAATCACTCCCCCTAGTGTCCCATAGAATTTCCAGTTCCCTATTAGTATTTTTTATTTGTTGCATTGCTGGATTTGGAGCATGTTTCCCTTCATGTTTGTGCTTTTACTCTTGACTGTGCTTTGTCCGTAGGGGCCACTGTAGTAATTAGCAGCAGCCCTGCTCAATGTGCTGGTAAAGAAAAGGGAACCTACAGTTCAAAACGAGAACTAGAAGTCTTAGAAGTGCTTTGGATTACATAATAACAATAGCTCCTGATTTCACAGATTCATGTCCATGATATCTGAGAAAACCACCCACCAATAAAGACTGCATAAAATATGTTTGAAAGCTCTGAAAAAGCTAGTAAGGGGACCTCAAGTCTGATTATTTTTGTTTTTTGACCTTTACTGCTTATTAGTGGAGAATTTGATTGTAATGGATCATGCATTTATACAACCCCTGAAGGGTGCTCGCATTATACTGTAAAAACAACTGTTTTTAAATAACAGCACTAATTTAGCTGCATTTTATTTACACACTTGACCTGCTTCTTTTAACATCAGCTCTTAGGTCCAGTTTAATCCAGCCCAGCCTGTCAGTAAGACATCAGAAAACGCTCACCTGTAAACACCAATGGGAATATTCAGATTAATTCTCTCCAGAGTCGACCAAAACATATTTATCAGGTCGGCTTACAGGAGATGCAAAGCATGTTCCTGCTT